GGCGGGAGCCGGGAGGCCCTGGGAGGGGTGCCGTGCGGACCAGCTTTTCCCGTGAGAGCGGCCATTTATTGACTCACTGGGGTGCGCCCGCCACTGCCGAGTGCTCCGCCGATTGCTTAACCCGGGGACGCCTTCGTGGGGGAGGCGATCGACTCGTCCCCGCGTGCAGTTGCCCAGCCCCGTTACTATTACTGCCCGGAGTACCCCGTCCGACCTCGGTGCTGAGGCCCCGGTGGGGGCGGCGGCCAGAAAGGCAGAGCTCGGTTTAAACAGCGCGCTCAACCCGAGGGCCCCGGAGTCCCCGGAGCCAGAGAACAGCCGGGGATAACGTGGAACTGGACCGCGCGGGTGAGACGCGGCTAAGGCTGCGGGCCTGCCCATCACCCATCGCGACATTGACTCGAGAAAGGCACCGATCAGGCAGAAAGCAAAACAAAACACTAACACTTAGTTTGCCTGAAAATAAATGATCACTCTGACTGTGTACTTTAAAATAGAGGGAATGAGAAAGACTGCTGTTTAAAAGCATGTGGTTTTGGTTTCATTTTATCCCTCATGATGGACGTGCAGCTGTTTTTGTTTTGGGTGGTTTTGTGGGGTTCTAATTTTTTTACAACTTTGGAAGTGCTTACCTGTCATTAGGAACTTTTGAAAAACAAACTATCTTAATTGATGTTATTGGAAGTTTGGTGAAGACCAGAGCCCTGGAGAGGAACCCCCCTGATTTGCTGTGCCTTCCTGCCCACTTCACAGCCCCTGCCCTGCAGAGGTTAGAGGAGATCCCCGTGTGGGGCGCTTTCGAGGGGCCTGCCTTAAAGCTGGCACTGAATGTGAGCCATTGTTATTATAACGCAGTATCACAGAGTCACTTTACATGTTAATACAAGGAGCAAAAACGTGTTGTTGAGTTAATCTGCTTCCTAATAGAAGTCCTTCTAGTGAATATTAACCTTTCCAGCAAACCTAAAGTTGCTGTACTGGAAGCTTTTATTCTTTAGATTTAAGGACAGAACAAAGCATTTGAGGATTTTTTTCTCAGCATTTAATGGGGATAGAAGGGTCGTGTTTAGCTATAGCTGCATCCCTTCTGTTTTTAATTTCCTTTTTTAAAATATATTTTTTTATTTCAGAAAGGAAGGGAGGAGAGTGTTAGAATCATTGATCGGCTGCCTCCTGCCTGCCCCCTAGTGGGCATGTGCCCTTGATTGGAATCAAACTCGGAACCCTGCAGTTCGCAGGCTGACACTCTATCCACTGAACCACACTAGCTAGGGCTGTTTTTAATTTTCTTAAACATGTATGTGTGCCTATGGTCATTTTCTCAGTCATATTTTATGTGACCCTTTGCCATTGCTTCACTTTTGTGTGGTTTGTGAAACTTAGGTTACACAGAGAAGAAATTAAAGACTAAGTTAGAATACTGAAGAATTACATAACTAAACCCCTTGGTGTTTTTTAGTATCAGGCCAGCTACATATGTGTGCATGTTGTAAAACTCACCCAGAAGCTGTTGCTGTTTCGCTGGAGGTGTTGATAGGGTGTCCTATCCCCTAACGGACAATGGGGGGAGGGGGTTCAGGACACATCCCTCTCTCTGCATTGGGGATTCACACTTAAATCCTTTGGAACTTTGTCTTTGCAGCTTCCTGATTGGGCGTTGTCTCCTGAAGTGCATACACCGTGGGCCCTGATTTCCACCCACATGCAAACCTGCTCTCTGTGGTTCAGCAAAGCGCAGTATTGTGCAGGGCACCCACAGTCGTATTGAGGCGTCTCCTTCTGTGTTTTAGGTTGCGACTTTTCGTTTCCTGGCAATAAGCTGGTCTCTGGAGATCACTGTAAAATTATTTGGGACGAGAAATCTGGTCAGGTGCTGCTGGAAGATACCAGGTAAGCTCTTTCTGAGCAGCTGTTCCTTTTCGTCTCATAGCTTCCGGAACCTGACTGGAAGCCGGTGACTGGAGAGGGAAGGAGGTTGGTGTTCTTTACCGTGGTGGTTGGCCAGGCCTCAGGGTCTCAGGAAGTGTGCTCCGTGGTGACTGACGGTGTCGGGGACAAAAGACTAGGAACTGGTTTCATTTGGAAGCCT